GGTTTTCAATTTGATTTCTTTAGTCTAGGAGTTATTGTAATCATTATGTTGTAAGGATGAAATCCATTAGTCTCTTTTAGGGATTACATGATTTCACTAGGAATACAGGACCAGGAACTGGGACCTCCAATGACCTTTGAAAAGAGGAAGTAGTTAGGAATTGGAGTATCTTTCTGGCTTGCCACATAGTTCCTCATATGTATTGCATTAGCTTGGTCACTGTTTTTTGAGAGATTATATTGATCTGGTGGTTTTTCTGTATTCCTACATATAAATGAAGATGTAGATGATGATTATTATTATTTGAGACCGAATCTCGGCTCTGTGGCCCAGGCTGGAGTGCAGTGGCACTATCTCTGTTAATTGCAACCTCCACCTCCCAGGTTCAAGCAATTCTCCTGCTTCCTCCCTAGTAGCTGGCACTACAGGCCCAGCTAATCTTTGTATTTTTAGTAGAGATGGGGTTTTGTCATGTTGGCCAGGCTGTTCTTGAACGCCTGACCTCAGGTGATCCGCCCACCTCAGCTCCCCAAAGTACTGGAATTACAAGTGTGAGCCACCTCGCCTGGCCTGATGTGGATTATTTTAATATTGTAGCTGGAATAGGCAATATTAATAATGCAGTTTGCCAGTTGCTCTCAGCAGCTTCTCATTTCCTCCTGTATGATACACATTATAGCAGATGGGGAATCTGCAGAGTTTATATTGACCTTTACCATGATTTCTAACCGTATTAGCACTTCCCCAAATTCCAGGCTATTTTTGCAGGTTCTGTCTCATGTTTCAGAATTGAAGAGCTATCTCAGGGAAATATTTTTATTCACTGGTGATTACATGTTGCTATCATATATGCCTGTTTGATGAGGTTTTTTTTTTCCACCCGAGATGGAGTTTTGCTCTTGTTGCCCAGGCTGGAGGGCAATGGCACGGTCTTGGCTCACTGCAACCTCTGCCTCCTGGTTTCAAGTGATTCTCCTGCCTTAGCCTCCTGAGTAGCTGGGATTACAGGTATTCGCCAACACGCCTGGCTAATTTTTTTGTGTTTTTAATAGAGACGGGTTTCACCGTGTTTGTCAGGCTGGTCTCAAACTCTAGACCTCAAGTGATCCACCCACCTCGGCCTCCCGAAGTGCTGGGCTGGGATTACACGTGTGAGCCACTGCTCCCGGCCTAATGAGGTAATTTCTAAATGTAGCACCTTCAGCTTGCCTTCATCTTTGTATGTAGTGTTTCAGTTACATAATGTTTCAGCTTTAAAAGTTTTACTACTTTTGTGTTTGTTTACATATGCTAAAGGAACAAAGTTGATTTAAAACTCTTGTCTTAATTTATGTTAGTTTTTGTTTAGAAATTAGATTATGTATCTTTTTACAAAATTAGGCCAACACATTTCTCTGTAGGGAAATTCCTCTGTAGAGCACATAGCAGTTTTAACTGAAGTGGGCAGACTTGGGAGCCTTTGGGAGGCAGCATGGTGGAGTGGAAAAACTACTTGAAAAACATTAGAGTAAAGATACTGACATCAGAGTTTGGTGGAGAAAAACAACTGAAATCTAGTCTTGGTAGTGTTCATAGCATGCTAACCTTACCCCTCCTCTCCATGAGGGTTCTGGTGACCCTCCCTATTGACCACACCCACTCACTGGGGGAAGGACGTGAAACTTGGTGGAAGACTAAGTTAAAAAATAAGGTCAAGCGTGGTGGCTCATGCCTGTAATCCCAGCACTTTGGGAGGCCGAGGTGGGCAGACCACCTGAAGTGATCTTCACCAGCCTGACCAACGTGGAAAAAACCTGGCTCTACTAAAAATACAAAATTAGCCGGGCATGGTGGCACATGCCTGTAATCCCAGCTACTTGGGAGACTGAGGCAGGAGAATCACTTGAACCTGGGAAGCGGAGGTTGCTGTGAGTCGACTTTGCACCATTGCATTCTAGCCTGGGCAACAAGAGCGAAACTCCCTCTCAAAAAAAGAAAAAGTAGTTGTTACTTTAAGAGGAAGTGGGATCTAGTAAGGTTTGCAAAAAACAACAAAAAAAAGTATTCATAGAATTTTACTTAGTAAGCTGCTTTGAGATTATTTTATCAGTAAGTGCTAAATTTTTTGGGGTGTTTGTTATCATTCTAAAATAGAAATTGATGAACATAGGGACGAAATGACTTTCCCAGGGTCCGAAGTCTTGGTGCTTGGGCTTGAACAACAACTGCTGCTGATTGCTGGCCTGAAGTTTTTCACTGGGCCCTATTGACTTCGTTATCTTTGGCTGTGTGTCCAGCAGTACTTTATCTTTGTAGCATTTTGTAATGCAAAGACTGTCCCATCTGCTGTTCAGAATTCTGTGATATTCATAATCTAAACCCTTATCTCTTTCTTTCTTTTTATTTGTCTATTTACAACAGCCAGTTGCTTTAACATCCTTCGCCAAATAATGTTATCACTGGAAATAGGAGATAATGAGACCTCTAGAAATTCCTTTGAGAGTCAAGCTTAGGTAGGGTGACTTTGTGCTTTATTTTGTCATTTATGTAAAACAAGTTCCCTTCGAATGAAGAATATCTGACAAGTATAAAAGGAGTGAAGCAAAGTAATGAATTCTGAGTTAGTCTGAAAAAATCACGGCTATGTTGTATCGGTGTGATTGCCTTTTTTAGTGTTAGTGTTCTACAATCAGATGAAGTGTTTAATAAGATTGAGTACTTTGGGAAAGATGCATCGTTATTTCTTACATGGGTGAACCCTTCCTAGGAAGCTGTTGTCTTCCATTTAATGCATGAGATGCTGAGTAAGCCGTAACTGGTTTGTTGTGAGATAGGCCCAGAATTTTCTTGTTTTCCATCTTTGTTGTCTGCTCTGTAGAGGTAAGACAACAAAGATGAATAAAATCTTCATCTTGCATATGGAGGAAATAAAGCAAGTTGAAATACAGTGACCATGGCATTGTGGTATGTGTGTTCTTAATGATTTAGAGCTGCACTGTCCAGTGTGGTAGCTAGTGGCCACATGTGGGTCTTAAGCACTTGAAGTGTGGTTAGTCCAAATTGAGATGTATCATAAGTAAAAAATATATACCAGATATTAAAGACCTAATATGAAAAAATACCCCACTGATACTTTAAAAATGATTATTTTTAAATTAGAAAAATTGCATGTTGAGATGAAGTGATACTTTTAATATATTGGGTTAAATAAGTGTATTAATTTAAGTTATTATTATTATTTTTGAGACAGCCTTGATGTTGCCCAGGCTGGAGTACAGTGGCGTGATCACGGTTCACTGTAGCCTCGAATTCCTGGGCTCAAGTGATCCTTTCGTCTCAGTCTCCTGAGAGGCTGGGACCACAGGCACATGTACCACCATGGCTGGCTAATTTTTAAAGTTTTGTAGAGACAGGATCTCACTATGTTGTCCAGTCTGGTTTCGAACCCCTGGGCCCAAGTAATCCTCCTGTGTTGGCCTTCAAAAGCACTGGAATTACAGGTGTGAGCCACCATTCCTGGCCTAAATTAATTCTTTTAATATAACTACTAGAAGGTTTAATGTGTGGCTTCTATTACATTTGTGTTGGACAGCTTTAATATTTTAAAATATCTTTTATTATGTTGTTTGTTCCTTAATGTTTGAGTTGGGGCAAAACATTTATTGCATTTTAGATCGCAGTTCTGTCTAGATTTTAGAGTATAAAATGGCTTGCCAGGATTATAATTTAATATTCTCTGACTTGTACAATATGAAATATGGAGACATATATAGAACACAAAGTACAGTTATGGTATAGTGCACATGGATTACTTTGGTATATTTAAATCTGTTTGCATTTTAGTAAACTAGCGTGTATTTAAAAGCCGTACAGGGTCTTAAACAATTGCTTCTGGGCCATCCCTGAGACTTAAAAGTACAGAGCAACTGCTTCACATTGCCGCTATACTGATGAGAAGAACAGGTTGAAAAGGAATCCCAAGTAACTGTCGAGTGTGTAGCATGGTCTGGGTTAGTGGAGTGATGGGAATAGGATGGGACACTAAGTCATAGGTAGATCTCCTGGGTAGGTTTCTGACAGGGCTTTGCTCAGCTTCAGGTCTTCTTCCTCTTTCTTGCATGCGTGGTATCTGACCCAAGTGTGATTTGCCTCTGAGTTCATTGACTGGAAATCACTAAGTTGGTGGATTCCTGAGGCTGCAAGGGGTTAAAAATACTAAGTTTTGCTGAAAAAAATAGAAGATGTGATGTGAAGCTGGAACTGCGTATAACCTTTGTTTTACACCCAAGCACAAGTCAGTAGAGTAGTATGGAGGAAATGTTACCCTTTAAGATTGATGACTGCTCATTTCCTTGCTCTTCAAAGATGTTTTTCCCGTTTGGATACCCAGCTGGAAATTTGAGTCATTTTAGAAGTTTGACTGACTGCTAAATCAGATGTATGTGCTTTTTAGCTTTAATATTTTAAAATATCTTTTATTATGTTGTCTGTTCCTAAATGTTTGAGTTGGGGGCAAAACATTTATTGCATTTTAGATCACAGTTCTGTCTAGATTTTTTTATAGATTGACTACTCAGCATCAAAATTTACACATGTAACACTGTGAAAATCTAATTTGTTTGGTTAACTGGTGATAGTTCTGTAACAAACATTAAGTTGCGTATTGGGAGGGGTTGGTTTTGAAAAGGAATATTTTCATTGGTGATAGATTTTATAGTCATAAAGCAATCTGTGTATATTAGAGCATAATCAGATAAGGAAGTGGTTAGTAGAAACCAATAGACTAGATTACCAGAATTAAGATCTCATGCAACAAAATGTAATTAACAGCATAACTTGAATGTAATTTTTACGGGATTGTCTTATGAATGGTAGTGACTCTTAAGTGGTATGTGAAATGCTGTTACTAGCACATGCCAGTTGATAGAATGCTGGAAAAATCAAATTTTACAGTATATTTTAGATAGGATTTTTGTATGCTTGAGGGTGACTTGGCTTATGTTTTTTTTCTTTCCTTTTAGAATATGGTTTCTAGTTTTAGGGTTTCTGAACTACAAGTATTACTAGGCTTTGCTGGACGGAATAAAAGTGGACGCAAGCATGACCTCCTGATGAGGGCGTTGCATTTATTGAAGAGCGGCTGCAGCCCTGCGGTTCAGATTAAAATCCGAGAATTGTATAGACGCCGATATCCACGAACTCTTGAAGGACTTTCTGATTTATCCACAATCAAATCATCGGTTTTCAGTTTGGATGGTAGCTCATCACCTGTAGAACCTGACTTGGCCGTGGCTGGAATCCACTCGTTGCCTTCCACTTCAGTTACACCTCACTCACCATCCTCTCCTGTTGGTTCTGTGCTGCTTCAAGATACTAAGCCCACATTTGAGATGCAGCAGCCATCTCCCCCAATTCCTCCTGTCCATCCTGATGTGCAGTTAAAAAATCTGCCCTTTTATGATGTCCTTGATGTTCTCATCAAGCCCACGAGTTTAGGTAAGTGTTAGAGAATTTAGTTTCTTCTGAACAAGAGAGTAAATGAAATGAGAGGCTTTCGACTATTGATACATGATTTGCTGTTAATGTAGTAAAATTGAGGCATCAGTGCTGAATGTTTGAATGTACAGATAAAAATTTGGCAACCATGACTGAAATCTAATAGAACATTTATTTCGGCCGGGTGCGGTGGCTCACGCCTGTAATTCCAGCACTTTGAGAGGCCGAGGTGGGTGGATCACCTGAGGTTAGGAGTTTGAGACCAGCCTGACCAACATGGAGAAAACCCCATCTTTATTAAAATTAAAAAAAAAATTAAAATTTTAAATTTCATAGCATTTGAGTGTTCTTTTCCAATTATTTTATTGTGGTTAAAATACATATATAAAATCTATCATCTTGATCATTTTGAGGTATACAGTTGAGTGGTATTAAATACATTGGTATTGTTGTTGTGCAACCATCACTGCCATCCATCTCCAGAACTCTTTTCATCTGAAACTCTTTACCTATTAAACAATAGCTTTCCTTTCCTCCCCTCCCCTTAGCCCTGGCAGCCACCATTCTACTTCCACTGTCTATGATTTTAACTATTCCATGTACCTCATATCATTGGAATCATACAGTCTATGCCTTCTTGTGACTGGCTTATTTCACAAAACGTATTGTCATCAAGGTTCTTCCATGCTGTCGTTGATGTCAGAATTTCCTTTCTTTTTAAGTCTAAATAATACAGTAGTATAAATTTTTAAAGAAAAATAGTAATCTTTTGCTCACTTCACTACCCACCCCTCAATGTCACCGTCAAGAAGCAACAACCTTAATTATTTTAGCTGTTTCTTCTGATTTTACTTCCATATTTATGTGGTATAGCATACTATATTTTGCTTATCCATTGATGGACACTTAGGTTGCTTCCACGTTTTAGCTATTGTGAATAATGCTGCTGTGGTCACGAGTATACAGGTATCTCTTTGAGACCCCGCTTTTCAATTCTTCTGGCTGTGTACTCACAAATGAAATTGCTGGATCACATAGTCATTCTATTTTTAATATTTTGAGGCTTCACTGTACTGTTTTCCACGGCAGCTCCGCCATTTTACATTCCCATTAACAGTGCACAAGGGTTCCAATTTCTCCACATCCTTATCAACACTTTTATTTTCCTTTTTTTTTTTTTTCCCTAATAGTGGCCATTCTAATAGGTGTCAGGTGGTATCTTATTGTAGCTTTGATTTTCATTTCTGTAGTGATGGTGATGTTGTACATTTTCATATGCTTTTTGGCCATTTGTGTATCTTTCAAGACATATATAGCCAAGTCTCTTGCCCACTTTTGAATAGGCTTGTTTTATTGTTGTTGAGTTTTAGTTCTCTGTATATTTTGGATATAATCCCTTATTAGATACATGATTTTGCAAAGATTTTCTCCCATTCTGTGGATTGGCCTTTTTACTCTTGATTGTGTCTTTTGATGTACGTACAACTTAAACATTTTTCATGAAAGTCCAATTTGTCTATTTTTTTGTTATTGTTGCCTATGCCTTTGGTGTCATGTCCAAGAAGTCATTGCTAAACTTCATGCTGTGAAGGGTTTGCCCTTTGTTTTCTTTGAAGAGTTTATAGTTTTAGGTCTTACATTTAAGCCTGATCAATTTTGAGTTAATTTTTTTATATGGTATTAGGTGAGTGTCCAACTTTGTTTTGTTTGTGGATATCCGTTTTTTCCCCACCATTTGTTGAAGACTGTCATTTCACTCATTGAAGGATCTTAGCACCCTTGTCAAAAATCATTTGACCATGTATGTGAGGTTTTATTTTCAGGTTCTCTGTTCCAACCATGGACTGGCACCTGTCCACAGCCTGTTAGAAACCGGGCTACACAGCAGGAGGTGAGCAGCTGGCGAGCAAGCATTACAGCCGGAGCTCCACCTTCTCTCAGATCAGCAGTAGCATTAGATTCTTATAGAAGCAGGAACCCTGTTGTGAACTGTGCATGTAAGGGATCTAGGTTGCATGATCTTTATGAGAATCTAATGGCTGATCTGAGGTGGAGCAGTTTCATCTGTAAACCATTCCCCTGGACTATGGAGAAATTGTCTTCCATGAAACTGGTCCTGGTGCCAAAAAGGTGGTGGACCATTGATTTATTCCATTGGTCTGGATGTCTGTCTCTATGCCAGTACCACAGTTTTGATTACTGTAGCTATGTAATATGTCTTGTAATCAGAAACAGTGAATTCTCTAGCTCTTAACTATTTTGCAGGATTATTTTGGCTCTTCAATCTTGAGATTCCATGTGAATTTTAGAATGAATTTTTCTATTTCTGGAAAACAAATAGGGATTTTGAGAGGAATTGCAGTGAATCTGTAAATTGCTTTGGGTGGTATTGATATCTTAGTAATATTAAGTCTTCCTTTTCCCACATAGGCTCATGGAGAAAAAAATTTAAGTCTTCCAGTGCATGAATGTGAGCTGTGTTTCTATTTATTTATGCGTTCTTTAATATCTTGAGTAAGATTTTATGTGTTCTTTATGTCTTTCAGCAATGTTTTGTAGTTTTTATTGTACAGGTCTTTCACTTGATTAATTTGGGAATATTTTTTCTTTTTGATGCTATTATAGATGGAACTGTTGGCATAATTTCCTTTTCATCTTCTTATTAGTTTATAAAAATGCAATTGATTTTTATATGTTGACTTTGTATTCTGCTATTTTACTGAATTCAATTATTCTAACAGTTTTTTGTGTGTGGAATCTTTAAGGTCTACTGTATACAAGAGCCTTCCATCTGTGAGCAGAGATCATTTTATTTGTTTCTTTTCTATTTGTATGCCTTTTATTTCTTTTTTTGTACTTACTTGCTCTGGCTGGAACTTAAGCATTCTTATGATGTAAAAACTCAGATTGCTTCTGTGTGAATGGGAACAGACACAAATCTTAATTATTGATCCTGATTTTGTGTTTTGATACTTTCCATACTTTCATAAAGGGACTTATTTTCTATTTAATGTAACTTTTAAACTGCTTTTCTAAGAAATAAACCTTTTATGTTTATTTTATTTCTAAAGTGGCACAGGGAGTTTGATACATATTTTTTAAGCTTTTTATTTAATGCCCATCAATTGCTTACAAAATTTGAGAAATTTTATGGTATTAAAAATTGATACATGTGACTAACAAATTTTTGCTAACTTTGCTGTGTTATTATAATTCTTACTGCCTAATGAAGTTATTTACTGAGATATTTGAATTTCTTTATAAAATAAATTGGGAGATAGCATTTCATAGTTAATCTGTAAGATTGCTTTTCTTTCTGTCTTGGGAAACTCCTCTTTATTTTCAGTCATGTGAAAACTTACACATATCCATGCTTTTTTTCTGTCTTGAAGAATTGTACTGCAGTCTGTCTTGGTTAAGTCAGAAGGTTGTGAGGGGTAGAGCTAGTTAGTGGGGCTTTAGTATGGCCTGACTAGTGGCTGGCAAGGTGGCTATTTTTTTTTTCTTCAATTTTTTGCTTTATTTATGTTCTAGCAAAACCGGTGAACCAAGCAAGTGGAGTATTGCATTTTATCTCTTTATAATATTCACTTTGAAATAAGGATTGAGTTTTTGTTCATGTTTTATTTTATTTTTTACAAAGTCATATGAGTAGAATTATTGGATCAAGTAGTAAGAACGTTTCAGACTCTTGATAATATATTGCCCAATTATTTTAGTGCCAGTTTAAATTTCACAAGCAAAATGAGAGAATGCCTGTTGTATCTCGTTACTTTTTGCCTTTATTCGGTGCTATTAAAAACAAACCTTGGGGATTTTTAGAAGAAAACTTGTATCTTGCTTAAATTTTTATTTTTAAAATTAGTAACAGGACCAAGTATTTTAAATGCTTATTATGCAGTCGTCTTTTATGGTTTTACTTTGATCTTTAGCCTTTCTTTTAAACAGTTGATTTATCTAGTTAAAATATTTCCCTAATTTGTTTCCTAACTTCGCCTTTGTCACAGCATTTGGACAGTATCACGCACAGTGTCATGGCTCATTTATATGTTTCTGTCTCAGCAGTTATTGTAAATTTATTACTTTTTAAAAAAAGTGTTTTTTTCCTTATTTATGTTGAAAGGCTAGCAAACTTATTACTTTCTATATCTTCTGGGAAAGATTCAGACTAGCGATATGCTTAGGTAGCCCTGCTTCATGAGACCCCTCTGGAATATGGCTAAGTACAGGAGAGAGAGGATAAGAAGGTCTGTAGGGTAGTGGTTATAGCGGAATGTGTTTTAGAGACATGGACGGAAGACTGGGGACTAACTGAAGATGTTGCGGTAGGCCTTTGCTCAGTGGCACTCCAAGAAGGAGACATGGGAGAGGCCTTGTCCTTTTCACTTTCCTTACTTTCCTTCTTTGTTCACAAATAGAAATAGAAATTTTCTTACTTTGCTATATTCACCATAGGATTTCTCTTTCATTAACCTCACTAAGGTTAAATAGTATGCTCTTTATAAATTTACTAAAATAAAACATTTCATATTTGGCGTTCAGAACTATCTCATTTGGCTTTGATAAAATAATGCCAGAGATACTTTGTGTTGAAGAGTAACTAAACTCCCTGCATTTTGCTCATAGCTTAAATTAGAATGCCTCGTAGCTTAAATACACATAGCCTCATGGCTTACACACTTTTTACCCTTGAACTAAAAACTGTTAATGTTTTTCAGGAATCCTTCCTGTCACTGTTTTTATAAACATTTTCTTATCTTGTGTTCCCTGAAGAGAAAAAAAAGGGCCAGGCACGGTGACTCATGGCCTGTAATTCCAGCACTTTGGGAAGCTGAGGCAGGTGGATCACCCGAGGTCGGGAGTTCGAGACCAGACTGAGCAACATGGTGAAACCCCCTCTCTACTAAAAATAGAAAAAATAGCCGGTCATGGTGACGCATCCCTGTAATCCCAGCTACTCTGGAGGCTGAGGCAGGAGAATTGCTTGAACCTGGGAAGTGAAGGTTGCAGTGAGCTGAGAAGCTGAGATCGTGCCATTGTACTCCAGCCTGGGCAACAAGAATGAATCTTTGTCTCAAAAAAAAAAAAAAAAGGATTTTTCTTAAGGTGTAATCTTTCAATGTCAGATTGATAAAATAATTGGATATAAGAAATTACCTTGTAGAATTTAGGTAGAAAGTTAAAATGTCAGCAAAATACCGCATAGTTTGCCAAATAAAAGTGGAAAAAATTTAATCATTTTGGTGATGACCTTTAGGTGAATATTTTTAGAGCCACAGCATCTAGGGCAATGTAGTTACATTCAGAAGTTGCCTTAATTTTTAAATGATTGGGTTTTATGTTGAAACTACTTAGAAAAATAGAAGCTCAGTGAAAATTACATATTTAGAATACTGCTTTGGAGAAACTTTCTCACATTTGGAAACTAAGAATTAATCGTCCAAAGTCAAAAGAGATGGGACCAAATCTATGTTTCAGTGCACATATTCCTGACATTCTAAGGCTAGGCTGTATATTGTGATTTATACACAATTAGTTAAATGACTTCTAAGCCATCAACATATTGTTGAGTAGGAATCGGTTAACAACAAGGGAGAGACTAGAAGAGCCATGGTAGAAAAAACAGACACAAGGTCAAAAATGTCATTCTAGAACCTCTTGGGATTTTGAAACCAATAGCCGTATGTATTTCTTTATTGTTGAGGGAATTGTTGTTACAGCATAGCACATTTTGATCTAAACAAAGCCAAAAAACTGGAATGAATATATTCTATTTAAGAAGATACATTACTGCTTCTCTTCTTTTCTGAGGCGGTGGCTGGTCTTGCCTTGTCACCAGCTCCATTTTCCTCTCCTCTCTCTTCCCCTTTCCCTTGAGCCCGAGAGTGCCTCCCAGCCTCGTAGTGTGATCATGGAGCCCTTGTGCTTTCTCCTTTCTCGGGTCCTGTGTCCGTGCCTGCCCTGCCATGAATGAGGAGTACGATGTGATCGTGCTGGGCATCAGTCTGATGGAATGTATCTTATCAGGTATAATGTCAGTGAATAGCAAGAAAGTTCTTTATATGGATTGAAACCCTTACTGTGGAGGAGAGAATGCATTTATAACACCACTGGAAGATTTATACAAAAGATTTAAAATAGCAGGATCACCACCAGAGTCAATGGGGAGAGGAAGAGACTGTAGTGTTGACCTGGTTCCCAAATTCCTTATTGCGAATGGTCAGCTGGTTAGGATGCTGCTCTATGCAGAGGTAACTCATTATCTGGATTTTAAAGTGACTGAAGGGGGCTTTGTTTATGAGGGTGGAAAAATACACAAGGTTCCTTCCACTAAAGCAGAAGCCCTGGTGTCTAGCTTAGTGGGACTGTTTGAAAAATGTCACTTCAGGAAATTCCTAGTTTATGCTGCCAACTTTGATGAAAAAGATCTGAGAACTTTTGAAGGCATTGATCCTAAGAATACCACAATGCGAAAGGTGTATAAGAAATTTGATTTAGGTGAAGGTGTTATAGATCTTTCTGGTTATGCTCTTGCACTTTACAGAACTGATGACTACTTAGTCCAACCATGTTGTGAAACCATTAGTAGAGTCTTTGCCAAGATATGGCAAAAGCCCATACCTTTATCCACTCTATGGCCTTGGAGAACTGCCCCAAGGATTTGCAAGGGCTAAGTGCTATTTATGGAGGTACCTGTATGCTGACTAAACCCATTGGAGAAATCATTGTGCAGAATGGAAAAGTAATTGGTGTAACCTCTGAAGGAGAAATTGCTTGCTGTAGGCAGCTTATCTGTGACCCCAGCTGTGTAAAAGATCAGGTAGAAAGGTGAGCCAGGTGATCAGAGTTATTTTCATCCTCAGCCACCCCATCAAGAACACCAATGATGCCAATTCCTGTCAGATCATTATTCTACAGAACCAAGTCAATTCAAAATCAGGTATCTATGTCTGCATGGTCTCCTCTGTGCACAATGTAGTGGCACAAGGGAAGTACATTAGTTAATACAAGGGAAGCCATAGTTAATACAACTGTGGAAACCAAGGAGCCAGAGGAGGAAATCAGACCAGCTTTGGCGCTGTTAGAAGCAGTTGAACAGAAAGTTGTTAGCATCAGTGACCTCCTGCTACCGAAAGACTTGCGAACAGAAAGCCAGATCTTTATTTCCCACACATATGATGCTACCACTCTTTTTGAGACAACGTGTGATGACATTAAAAACATCTATTAGAGGATGACAGGATCAGAGTTTGACTTTGAGGAAATGAAGCACAAGAACAATGACATCTATGGTGAAGATTAACAACACTACATGTTATTATCTAATCAGGACAAATTTGAAATTTGGCAAATAATGCGTATGATATGAAATCAATATTGTAAGGCCTGCTTTTGTAATCAAAATGAAGAGAATAAAGAGCACTGTGCCAGTAAATACTCCTCCCCTTCATCTGTCTAATATTATGTATTAACTTGTTTTCATGAAGTGGCTATTCAGAATTGGCAGTTACCACATTCTCTTCAATTTAACCAAACTGTTTTTTTTCTAGTGAAGGATCAGTTGTAAACAAACATTGGGATACTGATACAGACAACAGTTTTAAATAAACATTGGGGGATACTGATACTTGAGACAGTATTTCTATCTTTTAATCAGGGTAGCCTTTGCAGTTGTGTGCTTCTGTTGCCCAAGAGCTGGATCCATACATGTTGTGTGCCATCTGTCATCTTGACATTCAGGAGATTCTAAATTGAATATTCCATGGTTTGGGATGGCATCCAGAAGTTTTTCCTGTGACTTTATATTTTGTGTTATCTCAAGTGTTATGGCAGGGCCCAAATAGCCATATGCAGAAAATCAAAATTGGACCCCCTTCCTTACACCTCATACAAGAATTAACTCAATATTTATTAAAGACTTAAACGTAAGACTTAAACCCATAAAAACCCTAAAAGAAAACCTAGGCAGTGTCTTTCAGGACATAGGCCTGGGGAAAGACTTCATGACTAAAACACCAAAAGCAATGGCAACAAAAGCCAGAATTATCAAATGGGATCTAATTAAACCAAAGAGCTTCTGCACATCGAAAGCAATTATCATCAGAGTGAACAGGCAACAGAGATGGAGAAAATTTTTGCAATCTATTCGTCTGACAAAGGGTTAATATCCAGACTCTATGAAGAACTTAAATTTACAAGAAAAGACAACCCCATCAAAAAATGGTCGAAGGATATGAACAGACACTTCTCAAAAGAAGACATTTGTGCAGCCAACAAACATGAAAAAATGCTCATCATCACTGGTCATTAGAGAAATGCAAATCAAAACCACAACAAGATACCATTTGCTGCCAGTTAGAATGGTGATCCCTAAAAAGTCAGGAAACAACAGATGCTGGAGAGGATGTGGAGAAGTAGGAATGTTTTTACACTGTTGGTGAGAGTGTAAATTAGGCCAACCATTGTGGAAGACAGCGTGGTGATTCTGCAGGGATCTAGAACCAGAAATACCATTTGACCCAGCAATCCCATTACTGGGAATATATCCAAAGGATTAAAAATCATTCTACTATAAAGACACATGCACATGTATGTTTGTTGCAGCACTGTTCACGATAGCAAAGACTTGGAACCAGCCCAAGTGCCTGTCAGTGATAGACTGGATAAAGAAAATGTGGCACATATATACCATGGAATACTATGCAGCCATAAAAAAGGATGAGTTAATGTCCTTTGCGGGGACATGGATGGAGCTGGAAACCACCATTCTCAGCAAACTAACACAAGAACAGAAAACCAAACACTGCATGTTCTCACTCATAAGTGGGAGTTGAACAATGAGAACACAGGAAGGGGAACGTCATGCACTGGGGCCTATCGGGGGCAGGGGGTGGGGAGCTAGGGGGAGGGAAAGCATTAGGAGAAATACCTAATGTAGGTGATCGGTTGATAGGTGCAACAAACCACCGTGGCACCTGTATACCTATGTAACAGACTTGCATGTTCTGCACATGTATTTATATTCTGCACAGAATATAAAGTATAATAATAAGATACATTAGTATATAGTTTTATAGCTTGGGATTATTTCTATTCAAAAGGGTTGATATAACATTTTTTTTTTTATCGCTTGAAGTGACAAAATTGTGGTATCTTGAAAATAGGTGTATACAATAATACTAAAGTACTCTGTAGCTAAGGTTCTACTGTTAACAAAATAGATAATTCCCTTATCCAAAACAAACTAGCAAATCTCCATTTTCTTTCCTTAAATAACTATCCTGCTGTGCTCTCACAGGCAGTCTTGTTTTCCTCTTCATTTTTTAAAGATAATTTTTAAAAAACATGAGATCCTTTGGGAATCATCTAATTTGAACATTTGTATTCTGTCTGTACAAAGGAATATGTATATAAA